TCAGCCTAAGCTATCATTAGTCATACCATTATTTGTGGGGTCAAAAGTCCAGCTACTTTTTGAAGCGACACTAGAGATAGATCTGTCATTCCCCGATAAGTTGCGATCATATGTGCTAGTGTCCAAAGTAGGTGGAAATTGATGGAAATCTGGAGATAGAGCTGTCATTTCCCGACTACTTGCGAACATATCATAAGTCATCCTTGTGCCCTGGTTACCGCTGGGATATCGGAGTAGAAATTTAACCTTCTGATCTTTAATGCACTGGCTCCTAGACGGCTGATTGTTGCTTTTATAGGGGCCAACTCTGCCTGAAAAGGGCTGCATGAGTTCCTGATTGAAAGATATAATTGGACCTCTGAAGGCAATTCATGAAAGGTCTTGTTATTCGAACGGCTGATTTAATTTGTTTATTCGCCTTAGATGTATTTTGTTTTTTTGCTTTTACTGATTTGACAGCTTACCGCAAAAGTAAAAACAAAATATGTCCATGGGATTGTTGTTTTTGTATTATTGCTACCGCTTTGTATAAACTTGACCTCGGACCTCTGTTCCAGAGGCTGCCATTCTACCATTTAAATTGTAGATAATTGTACCATTTAAATTGTAGATAAGGATCCCGTCGAAGCCAGTTTCGGTACGCATCGATCCGTTTCTTCAGATATGAAGTAGAAGTTCCCAAAGATTGCCGAGTGCTAATAGACGGGGTTCAGGGAGAAACTAGAGCTTATTTGCCTATTGGCAGAGTACACTGTAGCAGCCTTACCCGCCTTAACATTTGGTTTCCAGGATAGATTTCTGGGTGGAGGGCCAGGTCATAAGTAAATTAAAAGGAATGAGTAGGTTGACAGGTTTACTACGAGTTCATACGAAGAAAATACCTATTTAAAACTTTCTATAAAGTGACCTACAATACACCTACACTTTCTTAATAACGCTACGTAGGGTCTATGTAAGATCTCACGGATCAGCCAACTTAACATAACTTAACACGTAGTAAAGACTTTTGAGAGCTGTTTGAGAAAGCTGATGTAATTAGAGAAATGCACGGGGTAGTGGTCGTTCCGTTGTGATTTTCGTAAACAGTCGTTCAACCCATTTTAGCCTTTTCAGTTCTTCAAATTCAAAATAGTTCGAATGCCCGAGAAATAAATTTACCTAACTTGTAATTTTCCAAAATTAAACGTTAGTTTGAGCATTTTTTCAGCTCGTAACTCGTTCAAGCAGCGAATTTTTCCCGCCGCACATCAATAATTCTCTGGATAGCTATTACTATGTAGATTATTGATTATCATGTTTCCTGTCCCTTTCTTGTCCGGTCATGTGGCCATCTTTCTACTTCTTCTAAGTTTTTTTCCTTAGCATACTTACGTACACACCTTCTGTTTACTCATTTCGACTTGACGCTTTTTTGCCAGTATTTTTTTCTGCTTTGAATATTTAATTTGATTATGCAGCCGTTGTTTCTCCATTGTGTATGTTATTAGTCAATCTTCCGGCGGATGTAATGGAAATATCGGCAATACTGTTTTATGGTGTTCTATGATATTCGTATTTGGTTATAGTATATACGGACGGTCTTGTTGTACATATGTATGTATACGTATCATCATGTGCGCACAATGATACGTGATTGGCATTTTTCGTTTTATAAAATCAATATAATTCTTAAGGTTATTCAAGATATTTTTTTTTTATTGAAAAAAATTACAATTATATACATATATCCATTAGGATGAATAGCCAAAAAAGTTGCGGATTTTCCACCGAAATTATAAAATTTATTATATTCTAAGAGTTTGGGCAAACTATTTCGGAAACATAAATCTGAAGAATATACGTGAGGTGGATCGATTTGAAAATACCTCTAAAAATTTGATTATGTATTTCGATTCGTTGAATTTCGTAATGCAGACCTTTTAAGTTCTTTTTAAAAACTGATTTTATTTTTTATATAAAACTCGATTTTTGGGGGTATTTTTCCGAAATATTTTGTTGGAAGTTTTAAAATACAATAAATTTCATGATTCCGATTTTTTTATGATGCACCCTAATGTCTGTAAATTTTTACGAGTGGACTAGCAAAATTTCGGTGAGCTGTGTGGAAGAGAACATGCAAAAATTGTTTTAATTTGCTGTTTTTAATCTTCATTATTCTGTTATTTTCCACAGGATCACCCTTAATTTCAATACATTTCTTAAACCTGCAGATCCAAGCAGTCCTCAAAATCGCATTTTTGTATGTGCTTAAGTCCTTCATTAACCGCATTAATTATCCCCGCATTGCCACTCGTTTTTTCGTTTTCCAAACAAATTTTCAAAAATTTTTGGTGAGCAGTTTTCAGTATACCAATGGTAGTTACTGTCTGACTAGAATCTAGAGAAATAACAGCTATAATTTTTAATTTGGCGAAGTAAACCAAATTCTTCACATTGGTTGCTGACTTCTGTTGGCTGGCTTTACCAGGCGGACTTGTTCCTTCTGGGTTCCATACCACTGACTCCGGGTCATGCTTCATCGTCGAGCTTCTTTCTAACTCACTCAAAATGCATGGCAGCCTTCGAGCAGATTGCTTTAGGTACCCCTAGATCGCTTCGTAATATTCGCAAGACTACCATGGCATTCAAGCCCAATTCACTATTATTCGTGCTACATTTGTCTCGTCGGTCGAAAATTTGGGACGCCCTTCTCTAAACTCATCCTTCACGGAAAAAGGTCCAGTCTGGAGTGCTTGTCATCATCGACAAATATTTTTAAGAGATTGTTCATTCGTTACATATTCAGTTCGGAATTCATTGAAAACTTCCACAGGCTTGAACTGACGTCGAACGTCGTAAAAAATTTCATGACGAATTTCTTGTTAAATTTCTATCGAACTTTCATCAGTAATTTAAACGCTGGAACTATTACTGCTGTTTATGATGGTTTTTAAATAAATGAAGTCGTCTTCTTCTTCAAACTTATAACCGCCAAGAGTGACGTGAGTGCCGAAACGCTTATCCTCTAACTGTTTGTATGATGATAGGAGATACTTAGTTTTTCCTCGTTCACGCTAGACCCACACGCTTTGCTTCTGTACCTAATTCCGAGAATAGGTGTTGGGCCCCCTCGTCCTTCTCTTCCGTCGGGGCTTGGGCGCAAATAAGCAAGATGTTTAATATCGCTTTGGTGCGGATTGTGGGGAGAAACTCTTACGCCGGGGTGAACGATAGTACTCGGCGACGAAGTGTCTTTCCCACCACAAATCCGACGCCGAAAAATCCTGTTTTTTTTTTATCTACCTCACCCCGCCCATCGCACTTCCTGGATGGCGATGATGCCAGCCTTTGTATTTTTGAGCAAATCAACCAGCCGGGCAGAGGCGTCTTCCCCATTAAGGGTCCCGGCTTTCCAAGTGCATGTCCGCAAATCGTATTCCTTTGTATGTTTGTCGTGCTCGTCATCAAATATAGGGGATCTCATCCGAGGGTTTAATATTTTAGACTACTGAAGCCAAGAAACCCCTTTTGTCATCTATGTCTATTGCTACATATGTATATTTCTGTTTTTTCCGAAGATCGTTCTCGATCTGCTTAGTTTTTTTTTAGAGGAGAAAGCATCGAAGCCTTAACTCCGTCAGTGTGGAACTTTAATCGCACTAAACCTCTTACCGTCGTGTACCGTGCCGCATCCCCCTCTGTACTACCGTTAAGTATTCTGCCTATATGTGCGCACTTCTGGTTGTATGTATATTAGGGTGATTCCTTCTCTATGCAAAAAAAAATCGGTACTGTTCGGAAATATAAAATGTGTTATATTTCAAGACTTCCGCCGATATATTTCGGAAACATATTATGATTTACGTGAGCTGGACGTATCTGAAAATATCTCCAAAAATCTAGTTTTTTTTTAATAAAATGAATTTTTAAAAATATTTTTTTTTTTTTTATAAAAAATCACTTCAGATGGTACAATAAGCTTAAGCGGTCTGCATTAAAATATTTAAAAAATTCTATCAACGGAATCAAAATAATGAGTTTTTTTTGGAGATATTTTAAAATTCGTCTAGTTCACGTACATCTTAATATTTTGCGAAATATTTTGGCGGAAGTAGTAAAATACAATACATTTTAGAATTGCGGTAGAAAACCCATTCTTTTTGTTTTTTTTTTGTGCAACACCCTACCATACATACATACATACATAGGATGTGGGTATATATAGAAACCCGAAGCAAACTATGTACTTATGTACATACTTACATACTAAATAAAATTTAGTTTTTTGTTTTAGTTATTTCTTCAGTTTGGGTGTCTTTTTAATTATATTAAATTGCTTTTCAACGCGATTTCCTCTTTCCAGCAGCAAAGCCATCATCGCCGGACGACTGCCTGCCTGCCTGCCTGCCTGATGCTGTTCGCTCTGTTCTGTTCTGTTCTGTTCTTTTGCTACGTTGTTGCCGTTGATTGTTGTTTCTCGTCTTAATGATCATGACATGCCATTGGCACTTCCGTCTCCCGGGCAATCATCGAGCCATCGCCAACAGCAGCATATATTGCTGCTGCTTTTGCGTTTGCTGTCGACTGTGGCTCACCAATTTTCAACAACTGCCAATCGTTAGTAAAAGCGCTATATGTTTGCTGTGTTGTAAATTGAGACAGACCGTCTATCTGTAGTCGATTGTGTGTCTTCCGTTGGAATAGCGATTTGCACCGCTGTCTGTCAACGGTCAACTGTTGATGGCATAATAATAAGTACATACCTCGTACACACACATTTTTAAATAAATATACATTTGCGCATATGCGTCTACTTACTTGTATATTCATCGCCCACCTTTTTCCCCCTTTAGGGCTAATGTATGTAATTGGCCAACACTTGATTCCACAGCAAAACTTTGCAACAGTTCGCCGCTCAAAATACATAAATACATATTTTGTTTATTTACAAGTATTTACTTTTATCGTTGCGTTGCTTTATTTATAGTTTTTGTTTTAATATTTTTTCATATTTTTTCCAGATATGCAACAATTTTGGCTTTCGATGTAAAAGTGGAGCGTGAAGCCCAGGAGATGGCCGATTCGTTGGGTGTGAAAATATTCCAAGCTGACATTATTTATCATCTGTTTGACAAGTTTATGGCCTATCGTGAGGAGTTGAAGCAAAAGAAACGTGAAGAATTCCGTTCGGTTGCCGTCTTTCCATGCAAGCTTAAGGTGAGTGTCCTCTTCGGAGTGAGCATTAGGCAGTTTGGTATACGTGCTTACTAAAAATAAAAAAAAATAGAAATAAAAATCAGGCGAGCATATTCTAAAAATGCAATTTCCTAGCATAAATCAAAAATTTTTATTACGAAATTGCATATTTTCGTCAATCTACGTACCAAACTCAATAAAACAAGTATAAAAGTATAAGTTAGGGCGTAGCAGAAGTTTATATACAATAATAGCGCAATTTTGGCTATGATAGTTAAGTCTTTTGAGGGACAATTGAGAGACAGTAGGCAAGATAGTTTGAAAGATTTTGTTTATTCTGGAACGAAAGCCTTACAAAGAAAAAAGCTTCCTTTAAAACTTTCGTGGTGAAAAGCTCTTTTCTTTGCTCACGTGGATCCACCAGTCGCAATGGCCGAGTGAGCAAGGCACGGGCGTGCCAGTCCGGAGATCCGAGGTCGAGTTCTTCGGCAGCGAATTTTTTCTTTTATTTGCTTTAATTTTTTTCTTATTAAAAAATTTTTATTGCCCCTGAGGCCGTTTTATATGAAGAATTATTGTGAAAAAACAATGGTTCATCGCGGTCACTAAGATTCGGCCCAGCGACCCCAACTAACCAAGCCAGTGGTCTACCCACTGCGCTAAGTTCGCCTTATAAACTGTTGTTGCTTTTTCCTATGCCAACTCAACATTTTTTTTTAATCTAATTTATGTATCTAGTTCCACTTACAAATGTAATTCTTATTCTGAAAGAGCTATAGTAAAATTTCAACCTTAATATGTCTTTTTGACCCTAATTTGGAAGAAGCTCCATTTAAGTCCATCAGAAATACCAGTTAAGAAACAATTTTAACAAAAAATTTTAAGTAGGAAAGTTTTCTAGGGTTCGACGAAGATGCAAAACTTTTCAGGACTTTTTGAAACTCTAAGAAATCTTCTTATTTTTTTCTGATGACTTGAACCAGTTCTTAAAATTTTTTGTGTTTTATTTTGTGGAGGTTTTTCAGGATATTTGGAGCTCTTTTGTTGTTTTTCGGACTAGTCGGAATTTTTCGTATTATATTTTGATTTTGTTTTTAGTCCTTTCGGATTTTGCCGAACTTTTAGAGATTTTTTGGAATTTTTGAGATTCCTCCGAATATCTCGAGATTCTTTTGATTTCTTTCCGAAATTTTCGGACTAATCGGAATTTTTCGTGCATGATGTCTTATCCTAGACTCCAAATCCATATGGCTAACTCATTTCAATAATACAAGAGCACTGATGGTGTGCAAACGTCTAGCGGTTAAAATCTGTGGATGCACCCCAAGGACCCTGATACCGTAGTACGTTCAGTAGGAACAGGGAAAAGCTAGCCTCTGTTCCCCAGAGACAATGTGCTTAGAGATTTTTAATTACATTTTCGGAGAGATTTTCAATCCAATTTTAGTAATAACAAAGAGCGAGTTTGAAGTAGCTAGGACTTACCGTTAATTTTGTGCAACTTTTTGTTGTTGAAGGTGTGGTGCATTTTTCCACACAATGTTTGACGTTGTTTTTATAAGGAGGAAAATGAGCAACACCTTTAACAACAAAAAATTTCCACGAATCAACGGTAAGTCATAGCTACTTTGAACTCTCACTTTGTTAAACTAAAACTTCATATTCAAAATCTGTATAAGAAATCTATGTAAAAATGTAGCAATTTTTACGAAATTTTGGTGTTTTTTTTTAAATATTGCAGAAAGTTTAAAACTTTTTATACGTCTCTAAGATACCTAGACTGAAGCTTTCAGTGTTTGTATATCTTCTCAGCGGAAGTCTATGCCCGTAGTTTGTGCGCAGAGATTAACCTTTACCCTACCATCACAGGCGGCATTTTTTGCTCTCTCACCCTTCGAACTCAAATTCTCATTGGTCCTGAATTGTATTGAGAAGCGTAATGCCCTGGCTGGGAAGAATGCTATCCAGTTGATATGGGCACCGGGGCCCATGGGAGTCTACGCAAAGAAATGAGCTGCTCAGTTAGCCTGAACTCCAACAGGATCTGAGCTCTTCCTTGTGGTAGGTCCCAACACAATAAAGGAAATGCTCACCGAACTGAGAGACCTGCATTGGTGAAACACCACGGGTCTTCGCCAAGCCAAGAGTTTACAAGGTAGGTACAAAGAGATACAGGTTACTCCTGAACGTGCCCAAAGTGAGGCCAAGAAATACTACAGGTTTTTTTACGGGTCATTGTAGGCTAAGAGGCCACCTGCACAAGCTAGGGATTTGGTCAAAAGATTTTTGTCGTTTTAGTTTCTCCGAATTTGTTCTAGTTTTTGGGACTTTGTGTTATGCTTCGTGCTTTATTATTCGATACATTTCGTATTTAACTCTGATATTTGTGTAACTTTTTGCCTTTAATTTTCCGTCATATTTCGGAACTTTCACAGATTTTTCGTTTAATTTCTTCCTATGTAATTCGAGATTGGTTTGGTCTTTACTGGATTTGTTCAGTACATTACGGGATTATTCGTGTTGTACTTTTTGCAGCTCGGGGCCTACGAGATTAACCGCAGTTTTTTGAGGATTTCTCGAGAGCTTTTGGGCTTTTATTTTTAGAATTTTTCGGAATATTCGGAAATTTTCCTGACCTTTCAGGATTTTTTGGTAACTTTTAGATGCAAAAGTGCTTAAGTTCCTGCTTCAAAAAAAAGTCAAAAGTTTACTTTTGTATATTTTTGCATTTTATTGTATAGAGGACATCACTTCTATTGACATGTTTGCATAAGAATTAATAAGTTCAATATAAAATTATATTTATTGATCTCCAAACCAGTGTACAATGCTCTAAAATACTTTTCTGTTTTGTCCTTTCAGATCCTGCCTCAATTTATTTTCAACAGTCGTGATCCCATTGTTATGGGTGTAATAGTAGAGAATGGCATTGTCAAAGTCGGTACACCTATTTGTGTGCCCAGCAAAGAGGTAAGTACATAAATAAAATAAAATGACTAAGGAATACAAAAAACTCTTATTAAATGTACATACGTACATATGTTGGTAAATTGTTGGTAATATAGAAAAAAATTCTCCCTCGCTCATCAGTTTACCATGAATTCATAAGAAGAGAAGTGCAGTCCGAACTATTTCCGAAGGTTATTACGCCTTAACTTCAAATTACGCAAAACTTCAATTATTGACACTACTTCTAAAGTAAATTAAGTAACATGTGTGTTTGCATGAGTAAATTTGTTTCGATTATCATTAACAGTGGCTACCTTTATTTCCACTGAATTTACTCGAAAGGGTTTCAACAATGCCTTATCATTGTCCATGCATTTATGCACATTTTTTTACAAACCTTAATGTTCCAACCATAACAACTATCGTATTTATGTGAACCTTTTCTACTGCTTGCTGAAACTGCATAAGACGAACCTCATAAAATTCTCATTCACTTAAAATTTTTTTTTTATTTGTATTTGACTTTAAATATCGAAAGCGAATGCAAAACTCTTGACGAAACTTTTTGATTTTTTGCAATTTTCTATCAAAGCTCAATGACAGGTCTTTGAGAGTATTTTACTTTACATATCATTAATTTTAATCGCATAGGTGAAATAAATGTTTATACACATGTACTTTAGACTGGTATCATTATTCCCCATAAAAAAATCGGTACTGTTTTTCTATTGGAATTATAAAATTTTTATATTTTAAGACTTCCGCCAAAATATCTCGGAAAAACATTAAGATTTATGAAGCTGGACCGATTTGAAAGTGCGTAAAAAATTTAGTTTTTTATGAATAAGAAAAGTTTCTTAAAGTATTTTTTCATCTAAGGGGAGTTTTTTTCAAAAAATCCTTTGAAACCATTTTTATTCATAAAAACCTTCATTTCTGGAGGTATTTTCAAATCGATCCAGCTCACGTTATTCCTAATATTTTTCCGAAATATTTTGGTGAAAGTCTTCAAATATAATACTTTTTGTAGTCCCGGCGGAAATCTGCAACTTTTGTTTGGTGATGCAATCTAATGTACATATGTATATAGACCATGAAGGCCGCATTGCTTTGCATTATGAAAGACTATAACTAATGCATATTCTTCTTCTTCTTTTTTGGCGCTGTAACCGCCTAAGCGATTTTGGCCGAGTTCAGCAAAGCACGCCAGTCGTTTCTCCTCTGTGCCAACTGACGCCAATTGGAAACGCCAAGTGAAGCCAAGTCCTTCTCCACCTGATCTTTCCATCGCAGTGGGGGCCTCCCTCTTCCTCTGCTACCACCAGCGGGTTCCGAGTTGAATACTTTCAGAGCTGGAGCGTCGGTGTCCATTCGAACGACATGGCCAAGCCAGCGGAGCCGCTGTATTTTAATTCGCTGCACTATGTCTATGTCGTTGTAAAGCTCATACAGCTCATCGTTCCATCGTCTGCGGTACTCGCCGTCGCCAACGCGTAAAGGACCGTAAATCTTCCGCAAAATCTTTCTCTCAAACACCCCAAGAGCCGCCTCATCGGATGTTGTCATTGTCCATGCTTCTGCGCCATATACCAGCACGGGCATGATGAGTGACTTATAGAGCGTGGTTTTCGTACGTCGAGAGAGGACTTTACTCCTGAATTGCCTACTCAGTCCAAAGTAGCACTTGTTGGCAAGAGTGATTCTACGTTGGATTTCAATGCTGACATTATTATCGGTGTTAATGCTGGTTCCCAAGTAAACGAAATTCTCTACTTTCTCGAAATTGTAACTGTCAACAGTGACGTGGGTGCCAAGGCGCGAATGTGCTGACTGTTTGTTTGATGACAGGAGATACTTCGTCTTGTCCTCGTTTACCACCAGACCCATGCGCTTTGCTTCCCTATCCAACTTGGAAAAGGCAGAACAGACTTCGCGGTTTTTGTTACCGATGATGTCGATGTCATCGGCATAAGCCAGCAATTGCACGCTCTTGTAGTAAATTGTTCCTGAGCGGTTCAGTTCTGCAGCTCTTATTATCTTCTCCAACATCAGATTAAAGAAGTCACATGAAAGGGGGTCGCCCTGTCTGAAACCCCGTTTTGTGGCGAACGGCTCGGAGAGGTCTTTTCCAATTCTGACGGAGCTGGTGGTATTGCTCAACGTCATTTTACACAGCCGTATGAGTTTTGAGGGGATGCCAAATTCAGACATAGCGGCGTATAGGCAACTCCTTTTAGTGCTGTCAAAAGCGGCTTTAAAGTCGACAAATAGGTGGTGAGTGTCGATCCTTTTCTCGCGGGTCTTTTCCAAGATTTGGCGTATTGTGAATACCTGGTCTATGGTGGATTTGCCAGGTCTAAAGCCACACTGATAAGGCCCAATCAGTTCATTGACGGTGGGCTTCAGTCTTTCGCACAATACGCTCGATAAGACCTTGTAACCTATGCTTAGAAGGCTGATCCCGCGGTAGTTGGCGCGAATGGCGGGGTCACCTTTCTTGTGGATTGGGCAGAGCACACTTAAATTCCAGTCGTCGGGCATGCGTTCATCTGACCA